ACAACACAAAACAGGAGGGTTAATGACACGGTATTTTTATCAGAACCTTTTTTATAGATTTATGCTGGGCATATTTCTTTTTGGCTTAACACTTCTTTGGCAAATCCTGGTCTGTAATATACTTCAGAGTGAGCATTCCTATATCACCACTGTCACAGGACCTTTTTCAGTTTAAAAAAGAAATAAACCCAGAGCCTATTTCTTTCTCCAGAAAGCATAATGCAACCCTTCACTTTCTGTGAAGAACATTCACCCAGAATGGTGCCCACAGTGCTGCTGCAACCACCCTGTGGCCAAACCCCAGTGACAGGAGGACACGCACTGGGCTCGCTCCTGTGCCAGGGGCTGGCACAGGGCTGATGGCACCCGGCACACTGCGCTCTGCTCTGACCCCAGAGCAAAAACAGATTGCTTGGCAATGCTAAAATGGCTTATTTGGCAATACCAGTGCCTCAGCAAGTGAACACTGGGTGATGCGCTCTATTGCTTTAGTAACAGTAATGCTGTACCCCACGCAATGTATGCAACGTTGCTACTATTACAAGTTGATAAATGGAATTATGAATAATGTTGGCTTGTTGGGAAGGGCCTAGTGCTGACTTGTTGCACCAGGAACAGCCTGATGTTACCATCTATGACTGTGATTGAGCTGGATGTCTTTTCTGGGAATATGCCTACCTGTACTTCCTCACAAGTACCTTACTTTGGGGCTAAATTTTACAAAATCTCGTATTGGAAAAAAAAAACTTGGAACCTGAGGGAAGAAATGGGTCAGGATTCAGGCTCCAAACTACTGGGCTTTTCAGCAGTACATTCAGACGGGACAGCATGGCTGGCAGCAAGGACCATAAGCTCTTTAGAATATGCTTTATTTTCTGCCTGCAGCGTGGTCTGTAGTCGGTACCTTACACATGGTGTAGGGTAATTCTTTGAAACTTTTTTATTTTACTGGTGGTCCTTTCTTTTCCCCTTTGCACAATTCCTTAACACAGACCTTGGGTAATGCTGTCCAGTTCCTCACAAAATAAACACCCTACTTCAATTTGAAAATTGAGAATTGGTGAGAGTGGTACTGGTTTAATGTGAGTGGAAACATGGAGGCAAGATCTGTCTGAAAAATCATTGTAATGATTAAATTCAAATTGTTTTGGAGGAAATGACAGCTGTCTCTCTGCTTCCAGCTGGGAAGCTATTTCTGTGCTTCAGCCTTAGATGCTGGAAGCACCCAGACAACTGCATCATGTCAAGTGGGAATTTGTTCCTTGGGGGCTGAGAAATCCATGGATGATTTCAGATACCTCACTAATACTGGAAGGAGTTTTACAGTGCATAAGTGGGTGTGAAGTTCAGTAGAAAATACTTCTCAGTTGGCAAAAAAAAAAAAGAATTGTCTTATAAAAGTAACTGATAATGCAAGCATAAAAATAACCTAGGGCTTTTTAATCTGAGTTCCTAACTCCCTCTTTGTGAAAGAACAGGACCCAGCAGCATTACTGAGGAGGTGTTTGAGGAAATGAGAATCCTGTTTGCTTCAGGAGTGCTGCCCTGCCCTGTCAGCAGGCAGTCTGTACGATCTGAGAACATGCAGAGAGGCAGTGAGAACACTGGAAATGAAGAGCAGCCTGCTGACACCTAAACCATCATCTTGTACTTCCATTTCACACCCAAGGGTGACATTTGGGCTCTGTACAATGGCACCCAGAGGTTCTGCTCTGAATAGTCTCTGCAGAAGGGAAGGAACAGGGAAGCACTCTGGGCTTTGCCTCATGCAGAGCAGGCTGGCTCAGTGTAAATCAGACCACAAAAATACGTGTTGCTGTGCAACCTCCTAGAACAGAGAAGGGTCATGGGACAAAATACAAGGCAGAGAAAAAATATTTTATGGACTAAATAACATTTTTGCAGAACAATGAAGCAGTGCTAGAGAGAATTCCAAAGGAAGAACACTCTGATGAGAGTAAATGAGATTCAATCTGTCTCCTGCTCAGAGGCATCAAAAGCCAAGACACTGCCAGTGCAGAGGGTCTGCTTGAGACAAATATCACACAGAGGGTATCTAAGACACAAACATATGTCCAACCAGTAAATTACATGACAGCCTAATTCAACAACAAACAAGAACAGGTCACTTTAAGAGAATGATTAATACATGAGATTACTGTGCATGCAGCCTTATCTGAGAGCAAACCTTGTATGTGGGTGTGAACTCTTGCTAAAGTCAGCTCCTATCTTTGTTATACAACAGCTACAAGAATAATTATAATAATTAATGGAGAGCAGTGAAAAAAGTAACAACTGCCCACCTGTATATTGACAGACCACAATGTTTTTACTTCTTTTTTTTCACACCTCCTGCCTTTTGCAGTGATTGTTGACTACCACGAAGCCCTTTGCAGCCTCACACTGGGCTGTTTGCTCATGGCCAAACTGTTCAGCTTGTGAGTGACAGAGCTTACAGAGTTTAAAATTCTAATTTGTATTTAGTCTCCAGGGGCCTAGGTTGCTATGGGCTACACTAGATCACAGAGGATAACAAGATGAAAAGATGAATATTCACTATATAAAATAAAAGACCTCAAAATATAGGAGTGGGTGAATAATGTCTGAGGACTACTCTTTGGAAAGATTTTTTACACATTGTCTAACATAGCAGACCTGCCACATAGCCCGTGGTCTCTTGTTAAACTGTGGCTGCCCTCCCAGGAGGCCCTCACCTTTGGCATAGCTCAGCAGCACAGAGGAAGGGTTTGAGAGGGAAGGGTGGGCTCTGGACAGCTTGGGCACATACATTAAAGAATTGAAAGGAACTCAGAATTGAAGAGGAGTTCGGAAAATGCTTTAGGGCTGCTGAACAGAGAGGAGATAACTGACAGGGCTGCAGATGCTGTCAGTGCTATAAAATCACAGAATGAAGGAACAGTTTGGGTTGAAGGAACCCTTGAGCTCAGTCAAGGCTTTGTTCTAGATAGTTCTAAGGGGTGACTACCTGAGCACCACTTCCTCTGCACTGCATCACAATGGTCACCCATGGCAGGAAGAAGAATTCACAGCAGATCAAGTAGACATTTGGTCTTAAATTACAGTATTGCACTGGGGAAGAAGAATAGTTTTGAGTTTCCCAAGTATGCCTGCAGAAATGCCAGGTTTAGGTTTGGCTGTAGGAGCACTCAGAAGTGGCTCTCCAACCCTTCCCACATTCAAAGTTAACTAAAAAGTCCTGAAGCTAATGTGCAGTAACACAGAGTCTGTCAAGACCCTGTAGAAAGTCCTTTGTATGTGCAGGAACATTAATTTGCTGTGCTGCCTACCATTCCATTTACAGATGGAAACTTAATCTGTAACTATAAATCTCATAGAAGTACTATATAAGTAATTATTTATACATGCTAAAAATTATGTATGACTAAAAATAGTAATGTATTTCTGTTAAAATACATTCCTGAGCCTGTGGCCATGAAAGGACCACAGGATGGGCAAAGGATGTCCTTGCCTTATGACACAGAAAACAAGGAGGGATGGGTGAAAAAAGCATCCTAATGTAAAGCCAGTTTGCTCTTTATATATACATGCCATCTTTCAGTATATATATATTTTTTACAATTTATTATTATTACTATTACCATTACCTAGCTGTTGAGAAGGAAACAGAGTGAGTAGAACTAAAGCACACAGAGATTACTCACACCTAATTTCTGATCTCTGCTTGAGGGGAGCACGACACTGAAAAGCTCTTACAGAGTGGTCTGAAGAAGCTGAAAACTATTCATGGAATAATGTATTTTTGGTAAGCCTTGCTCTGGCTGAAAGCACTAATGTTGGAGAAATGAAGTAGAAGAATAGAAGAATATGTATGGTATAAAAATTGTATCATTTCCCCTCACCTTCATCCACCCTGATCACATACATGTTGAGTGAGGCACACTTAGGGATGTACACACCCTGCTGGTCTACTGTTATCATACTCAATCAATAAGGACAATTTAGAGTGGTGGTAACTCTGTGCATACTTCCAGTGTCCCAGGGGATCAATACAAATCAGTATCGCAGCTGGCTGGTAAGAAGTAATGAGATTATTATCACAAAAGGCAAGCTTCCCAAATTTTTTCTTAGTGCATGCCAAAACATCATACTTTTCTATCTGTCCATGAAGCATAAAATAGTAGCATTTAAACATATTAAATCTATTAACAAAAAAGTATATAAAAATCATAGTTTTGTCTGCCTTTCTTCTACTATTTTTTAAACTTTTTCTTTGTGAATGCAGTATTTCTTTCCCTTGAAAGCAACTGTGAGATTTGACTTCTTCATTCTTGGAAAGGGACCATACATGTATAAAACTGCACCAAATCTTCCACAGATTTCTCCTGAATAGAACTGCCATTTGCAAAATGCTTGGTTTTATATGATAGCAATAGTTGTCCATTCATGGCAAAAACACCTCAGGGATACTGCTGACTAAAATCATGCATGTGTATTAAGCCAGCCAATTTATTCTAACAGTCTTAAGTAGATATATGATGTTTACTGAAACTGAAAAAGCAGAATCTAAGCTCCTACCCTTCTCCCTGATACCCCTCTTGGATTTCCCTGAGTGATGGCAGTAGGCTCTACACCCCCAGCTGACCGCACTCCTGCTGAGGGCCACTGCTCAAACAGCTTGAGGTAAAGACTGTCTTTATGGTTGCAGTAATGTCATTTAACAGGTGGTCTGGACCCAGTGCTTAAAAGTCCTTCCACATCTCTGAGCACACATTCCTGCCAGGTCTGTTTTAAGAGCAGCTATAAAAGACACGATCAGCGGAACCCAAATGATGAGCTATGGAGCCCTACTGGCATGTGGTTTATTAGTGATGGAGGAGATGTGGGGAGAATAAACAATCACGAAAGGAACAGAGATCATAATTTCTGCAATAAATATGGGAACATTCACATTTTAGCAACAGTGCAAGTAATAATTATGTTGTAGCTAGTTAAATAAATGGATTATATGTGAATCTTACCTGGGAGGAAATGAGATGTCCAGTTCATACAATCTGTCTTTAAAGACTGACAGCTCTCTGTCAAATTCTAAAAGCTATAAAAGATAGAAATAAATGCTTTCACTCATTAATGTTGAACTGAAGCAATTTAAAAATAGTACATTACATAAAAGGAAACTATGATCGCACACAGCTTGAGGTATAGCCTTCACAGAATAGTTTTTATAACACAGTGCAAAACTGTCTGGACTATTTTGATACATAAACAGTGCCTTGAGAAAGGTGTTGAAAACATTACTTTTTCTCAGTGAAAGTTGTAACACTGGCTCTTCACAGCACTGCCCTGTAAGTGCACTTACACCGCAAGAAGACTACATTTCTTGAAATTTCGTTAGCAGTCTCTTCAGAGATAAACCAGACTAGCATTAAGAAAGAACAGCAGATATGCTAACCAGCCCATGAGAATGTCACTGAAACGCATCATACTACTCGGTATTATCTTTAGTGCAGATAAGCAGGTACAACAATCACAATGTGCACATCACTCTTGCCAAGCAAAGCCGAGTTCCTGTTCACCTGCTCTGGAGGGTGCTTGGCAGACAGCAGACAGAGGGATGTGTGACAGTAGGTAAAGGGTGTTCCCAGGTAGCAGCCAAGACAGAGCAGCAGAAGCAGGTGTTTAACAGATTTAATGTCCTGTATAAATATTAGTCCTGGCCACATTTGTTTTCCCCATGACCTCTACAGAGAGAATAAATACCCACAGTTGTTGTTCATAAACACGAACCCACTCACAACTCAGTGATAATTGTCCCCATTAAACCCGTAACTGTTCTGAGGGACACAAATGATCTTACTCCAGAACCTGGCCGGGGTGCAGCCCAATGTCCCAGGGAACTGCAAGCTAAAGACGAAAGCCCATCCCCATGGTGCTGGCCCTGGCTCTGAGGGCCACTTGCTGTTCTGACGAGCGTCCCGGCACTGTCCCGCACCACAGCGGTGTTTGCCCACCGTTCATTAATCATGTCCCATCTCACAGCTGTGCTGATACCATTGTATGAATGGCAGAGGTTCCCAAAGAAATTAGATCGTATCCCCCTTTCCCCTCTGTCACCTCATAAATCATTCCTGAGCGCAATTAGCAGCTACTTGTACACATTAATTATCTGTGTGAAAAGCAGCTACCTGAACCACCTGCACTGCTGATTAGTTCCCTCTCCACAGCTCACCCAGCTCTCTCCAGGCTCTCCTGCCATATGTAGGTATCTTTATATGAAGATGCCAGGTGATGGGCACCTTTCCCTACTTTAGTTCATTGGACACCAAACTCTGTGACAGTATGCTGGAAAGATTCTGCAATACTAATAACTGCTACAATTTGTGCTTCTTTTAACATCTGATTAAAAGCCTGAGAATTCGGTATGTTTAGATAAATATTTTGAAATATCTGTGTGGAAACTTACAATATGTATCTAATAATGTAGTCAATACTAAAAGCGTTGGGCTGGTCCAACACTGATCTAACTGAAGCAATCTCAATGCCCTTGAAGAAGAAATGCATGTTTCCATCACCATGAATGTTTCCAGGCTCTGCTTCTGTTTTTCAGTAAGCAGAACAGCTAGGTAGCCACAATACATATACACTGGCTATGAAAACAAATGTTACCATCCCTTTCCTGCTCCACGCATCTCCACCTCAGAGGTATCAGCCACCCTACGTGAATCTGGGATAGGAAAACAAGTTTCCATAGCCAGTTAAAACTATTAATTGAAATGTATGTCTACACATGTTTCCCACTGTTCCAAGTAAACAGCTGAGAGCAGGGAAGGGGAGGTGTCAGGAGAAAGGCTGTTTCTGAAGTGTTAAACTGTGAGCACTGAATGAAAGAACAATGCTCCACAGAACACAATGGTATAAATTACTCATGGCATCCCAAGGGTTGGCAAAGTTCAATAGATGCATTGTCCTCTCACACCAATTCATATTTTCAAAATTTTACACATTCAGATTGTTCTAGCCATGATGATTGATATCTGCAAACTCAGTGAGGCCTGGGGTTAAGAGAACTAAGCATTTGGATGTGCATTATCATCCACAGAAGTTTCTGCTGTACTTGTTTGCTGCAGTTGTGTATGCAGTGTCTGTGCTATGCAGATGAGCTGCTGGCACTGGTGGCACATAAGAGAAACAAGACAGCATTGTGTACTGTGCTGTCAGTTTCCCAGGTTTCCCCAGGTAAAGGTACAGCTTCAACCTGAAGCCAAAGCCCAGCTAGGTGCCTAGAAGGATTTAGGGAATGCTCATGGTGAAGAATTCATCCTGCCATATAAAACAGCCAAATATTTTTACTGGATTATTTGCAAGAGTTTTTATTTCCTGCTATATATTAAATAATAATGCACTTTTATAAATTATTTTTTCCTAGTTATTAAGTGACAGTGTAACAGGACCTGTAGCTTTCTGTTCAAACACAGTGTGCAGACACCTGCTCACTTGTGAGGGCAAGGACAGGTTACCTGTGTGCTCAGGGCTGAGCAGTGGGAACCCCCCACAACCCCTCTGTGTTTACCTAGCAGCACTGCAGGCAGTGAGGAGAGGAACAGAAGAGATGATGTGTGAAAACTGAACGGTGCATTTTGAGAAAATTGCAGTTATCCTTTTCAGTAGAAGACCATGTTTTAACTGTTATTTTTTGGTGTGAAAAGCACTTGCATTCTCATTTAAGCCTGTAATCTCAAAATGCAAAATTTTTGATGCAAAGGCAAGGTGTTCATTAAGCCTTGTCACAAGCAATTACAAATGTCATTTGCCCTGAAAACAACTTTGGTTAAGAGAAGGCACAGGGCCTGACATGGGCATCAGTCAATTCCATCTGCTTTATAGATACATGGGTGCCTGGAGCAACCTGGCATGACAGAAAATGAATGAAAATTAACATGGGCAAGATGATGCTGAGGAGCAGTCAGAATTTCACAGGGTAATGCCTTTACTTTTAAAGCATCTAACATTGTCTTTAAAAAACCCCACCTAGAACATACTCCTTTCATGGCAATTTCACCACAAGCTGCTCACTCATTTCCATACTGTACACCAATCAGCACTGTGAATAATATCATTGCCGGAACAGGAAACATGAGTATGTCTGTCACTCTAAATGTCTTAAAAATAAAAAAAATTAAGTTCAAATGCCAGAAATCAGTATATTGTTCTATTTAATTTACTCATAATAAGATCATCTTTAAGAACCAAATCTTTAAGGTGTTACATGACATGATGTGGTAATTCAAGCAATTACACAGATGTTTTAAAATGCTGTGACCGGCAGATCATTCCAGAATTATATGTCATAGGCAGTTTTCAGAAGACTGTTTTTTTTCCTCCAAACTCAGTTTCACCAATGTATTTATGTGAATGCCACATATTTATACCTAAATAAAAGTGAAGACGCAGGGTCTACGTTTTATCTGCTCCAACACAGAGTTGATGATATTACAAGATGTTTGCTCTACAATGTCCAGTGACCAGCCCAATAGGAATGTTTGATGAACACCTGAATGAAAATACCATCCATCCATCCATCCATCCATCCATCCATCCATCCATCCATCCATCCATCCATCCATCCATCATCCATCCATCATCCATCCATGTAATGTATCAATAGTTAGCTACTATCGGTGAGCCACTGTGACCTGTGAGCCACTGTGACCCCACAGTGCTGGGAATGCAGCCAGCAGTATGTGTAGGAATGACTGCATTTGCAGTAAAGGATATTTCCTATTTATTTTGAGGAGAATTAAAAGCATTCAGGACTGATGGCTGTGTCAGCTGCAGTGCCCATCACCTCCCTAAGGGAATTATCAGAACTGCTCATTTTCTAAGGTGCTGTGTATTCTGTAAAACCTGCTGAAGGGAGTCTCACTTTTTGCTCCCTTTTTCTTGGCAGCACTGTAACATGCATTTATGTGCTGGGGTGGAGGAGAAAGTAATGCACAAAATTCTAAATTCCTACATTATGCATCTTCACAGTAGTCAAAGGGTTATAAGACAGTTTAGGCAGTTGCAGAAACGGAGGCTCTGCTTGCTTCAATTTAAAGCAATGAAGCACTGTTAAAAGGTCAGCATCTATTGGGTACACTGCAGTGGGCCACCTTGGCTAAAATCATACACGTATGAACCCCTTCAAACAGGGCAACTTAATTCAGTCATTGGAGTAGAACAACGGCAATTACTCATCAAGACCTACAGACCAAAGTCAGAGCACTGGTAGATCAGGAGGTGATATTAGCAGCATTTATCAAATCCATCCGCAAGGCCCACAAGAGAATTCACAGCTGTGAAAGGGAAATGAAGTTTCAGACCAAAAAGAGGAGATGAGCATACAGAAGTGACCTCAGAGAATCAAAACATGTGGACCCCGCTCACTATAACCTCCTTTGCCAGTCTTGTGGAGCACATGTTTTTTTCCAAGAGACTTTGGAAAGACAGTAATTTTATACATCTTTCCAGTCCCAGCAAATTATTTAGAAACTGATTCAGCAGTCTACTGACTTCAGGTAAAGGCCTGTGGAAATGCTGATCCTTCCCACTTATCCATGAAAAAGCTGTACATAACCCTGCCTGATTTAAAGCGACTTCTTTCTCTAACAAAGACTATGTAAAATTATCTATTACTACATATTTTGAATCTTAATCTTCTTTCTCTCATTGCCAGTCTTTAAAATCATGTTTCACAGAAAAAAACCCCAAATCATTGAATATAAATTTACCACTTATGCTGTTTTTGTATAATATTAGATTTCTGCACATATCTATATATCCTGAATGGCAGCGTTGTCAAATCACAAACACCCACACAAATCTGGATCTATGGCACACAGAGAAATGGGGATCTACGGCCACAGAGAAATGGCACCAAAGAGATTGTTCTCAGCATTAGGGGGGTGAGGCACAGCAATGCCTGGCTAGTGGCACTGAGGGCTGACACGACTGGTATGGATAAGCTGTCAGACAAACACCTGCTAACAGTTCCAAGGGCTCAGCCACCCCTCTGTTCTGCAACACGCAGCAGAGAATCCAGATCTTATCCTGTGA